CATGTGGCTGCTGGGATTCGAGCCCAGGTCTCCACGGCCACAACGTGGAATTCTCACCACTAAACTACAGCCACTTGGTTACTATTAAATGTATTAAATCTTTTTAATTGTAATAAATGTTAAAATTAGCTATAAGATAAACACATAACTTATGTGGCTGCTGGGATTCGAGCCCAGGTCTCCACGGCCACAACGTGGAATTCTTACCACTAAACTACAGCCACCTCGCTTATAAATCATGCACTTTACCTAATAATTCTAATTTATTATTAATAAATGTTTAGTCACCTTCTAAGTTCTTCGGCCGATAATCATTTTGTTTTGTTTTTCGAAAATTAATCAGGTTTCCTGGTAATTTTTTTTCATCATTTTCGTACCTCTTAAAGAAATATTTAAATTTCCAGCCAATTTTTCAAATAAACATAAGGTTTTAATCTAAGAGGGACAATTATCTTCCCTCCGTATTCTGTATCATAGAATTTGATCAACTTCCACTTGCTGAACATGAAATCTGATGTTGGGGAAACAAACTACAATTTCAATGATGGAGTTGCTCATAAACACAATTTCATTGGATGAGTTGGGATCATGATTTCGAAGGGAAAATCGTCGTTCTCTATGCTACATCGAAAATGTTGCCTTCCGTCGATTGAATTAACCTTTGTCAAATGCTTCAAATCGGATTGCAAATCGTTGGTTCATCGGTTTCGTTGATCTGATCCTTGAACTGAAGCATCTCTTCTCAATTCTGGATTCTGAAGAATTTGAGCACGAAGTGTTTGATAATACGATACTCTTTCTCGTTCAACGTCTTCCCTACCGAGCGTCTCCAGCATTGCTGAAGAAGAATCAGGCGTAGGACAATCGATTGAGAGATTCGAGACGTGCAATCTGCAGAGAGGGCAACTCGAATGGTTACGGAGCCAGGCGTCGATGCAAGAACTATGAAACGAATGATTGCAATTAGGTAAGTTTTTAATCAATTCGCCTTCTTCGAATTCGCCCAAACAAACAGCGCATTCTGTATTGATGCTTGCCGTTGATTCGGCTTCTTCGTTCTTTTTGAACTGTGATATAGGTAGCAAACGAATCGTCGAAGCCTCCAATCCATGGACATGCACTTCCGGAGAAGGATCGTTAGGGTTTTCATCGAATTGGACAACAGATCGACCGCAAAACAATCCATGAAGGACACGACACCATCGTTTCAATATTCTGTAGTTGCTCAACAGTAGAACGACGATGCAAACGATGGCGATGATCGAGAATGACCATGGACTCCAGCTCGAGTAATCAGGTACCGGAGATGGCGGCGGCGGCGGTGGCGGACTCGATGGCATGTAAGAATATAGAATCGTAGATTAGAGAAAAGCATTTGAAGATGATAAAAGTTATCGAAGGGATTCGATGATTATTCTGTTGATCTATAAATTGAGAAGAATAGGGAATCTTGCACCTGAATATCTCCGTCAAAAAGCAGATTGAAATTGCATTTAGATGATATCCAAGTAGAAAACGAACAAACACATTGAATGGTAGTTAAAATACTTAAATATTGCTGTTTCTTGCAATTCTTTCTGCTGTGGAAATAGATTGATTAGCATGATGAAAGGGTCGATGATGAAGTTAATTTTGATGTAAATAAAGCTTCAAATCCCGTGATTAAAACTACCAAGTCATTTTTTACACTGCCAACTCCAGATCTTGATTTGTACAATGGTGTTCTCATTGAATTTTCTGTCTCTTGGCTGCTAGAATCTGAGCGTTACCATTTGGAGCCATCAGCCAGGCACTGTTGAAGCAAGAACCAGAAGATGAACAAATTTGAGAAGACCCACGAGACATTTCAGGGTGTAGAAGGGGATGCAGTGGCTTTGGGGAAGGGCTGCTGGGTTTTGAATGGGGGTTTATGCAGCCATTGACAAGAAGAGGGGGAATCTTGAAGGCTTGCAATGGCGGCGGATTACACCATTGGGGAAGCGGCCCGGCGACGAGAAGTGTCTGAAGTAAAGGACCTGCTTCTGTAACAGCTTGCAGGAGATTGCCTTTCTGAGGCAATGTTCTTCCCTTGACGAGATTATCCATCACAGTAGAGAACAGATCAGCCTTTTCTGTTTTGGGAGTGTCCAGTGGAGGCTGAGGGGCAGCATTGTACTCTGTGGCCATGGGCTGAGCTAGAAAACTTATTTTGCTTGAATCAGCCATGTTTGGAGTGGAGAAATCTGGCGATGAAACTCCATCGAAGAACGAATGGGCCGGTGAAGAACCATATGAGTGGTGATTATAAGTCTCATAGAGACTGTTTGATTCTGTGATGCTTGAATTTGCTTTGGTGGGTATGTTGAGAGGGCTTTCAGGGTGGAAATGAAGCAGAGCTGGTAATTCAGTTGCAGCAGTGGGCATAAACTTGTTCATCAGTTTCTGCAGCTGATCTCTTGCTTCGTCTCGTTCTTCATAGGCTGCCTGCAGGAGAAGAAGTAAGCTCTTCACTTTCTCTTTGTTCTTTATACTTTCCTCATTTGCTTCCATTTTTAGTGACTCAAGTTCAATAGTCGTCTGTAGTAGTTTCTGCTTCAAATCCTCCACGTTCTGCCAATTGAAACTAGATTTGTTAGTATAAGCAGAACAAAATATTGTTCTAAAGAGAGAATCTTCATCATCATTCATTCCCATATTCGTTCTAAGTTTTCCCTCAAAGTTTTAAAACGCGTTTACTAGGAACTTGTGACAGTCCAAGCTTACAATTAGCAGATGTTGTCATATTTGGGCTCTTTTTTGTAGATTTTCTCTCAAAAAACGCGTCTTTTGGGAACTTGTAATAACTCAAGTCTATAACTAGTAGATATGATCTGTTTTGAGCTTTTCTTTTTAGATTTTCCTTCAAGGTTTTTAAAACACGTCTATTAAGAAAGATTTCCACACTTTTAATGTTTCGTTCTCTTCACTAACTGACATGAGATCTCACACAATACTTTTGAGTTTACATTTCCCGAAAAAATAAGGATATACTATTGGGGGATCAGGATGAGGTTATTGAATGCGAAGAAGGCGTTCATTGTCAAATAGTGCAGCAAAATTAGGTTCTCACAAATCAATGCCTTGGAATAACATATAGAATTATCTCATCAATACCGACATATTCCTTTCCATTTGCAACCAAACATGCTCAAATATAAAAAAAAAAAAAAAAAAAAAAAAAAAAAAAAAAAAAAA